TAGATTAGATAGTAAAAGTTCTTCTATCAACGTATAAAAAAACACTCCTAAAATATGTTTACAGTGTATATCACATCTCTCACGTGCAAAAAATATTTCTAAAGTTTTAATGAACAAATAAAGATAAAAAAAAAAAAATTAAAAAAAGTATAAAAATAAAAAAAAAAATAAAAAAAAAAGTAGAGATCAAAGGAGAAAATAAAAAAACGAAAATAAAATGCAAACTAAAGAAAATAAATCTGCTCAAAACTCCGAAAATCAGTGCACATTAATATTAGGATTTTTTTTCCTTTTTTTTTTTTAACAGTTTGGTACGAAAATAAAATAAAATAAAGAAAAAAATATTTGTAGAAAACAGAAAACTGAAATTTCAAAAAATTCAAATCTATGTTCTACAAATTTTCAAAGTTCAGAAATATATATATATATATAGAATTTTTTTTTTTTTAATAAGGTAATGTGCACATAACACTACGATACTACGAGATTAATAGCATATATATCCCAATAAGCATTTTTAGAAGAATAAAAGGGCAAAACAGGTATTACAACACTAATTTATATCAGATTTTTGAATGAGGGGTATTTTTGTACAATGTAAAAAAATTAAGAGTGTCTTTTACACAAAATATGAGATAACAGTGCTACGTGAAATATATTTTAAGGGTATTTTTTGTTCGTCCCATATATATATAGTTGACCCATATGAGTCTATCGTTATCCTTGTACTGGTTAGAATGAAAAAAAATTAAGGTAAATTGCAAAATAAAATAAAAATAAAAACCATTAAATTATTACCCTTTTACAAATAAACCCCAAATTATAAACGGTCTCTAAACTAATGATTTATTACAATTAAGAACAATTTCATTATAAACGTCTAATTCACCCTCTCATTAAATTTGTCTTGTTAAATTATTATTATTATTTACTTTATCCTATTTTTTATATAGAGTGTTTTTTATATATACATAGTAATGACACGGGGCTAAAAAGAAGCCGAGTAGCTGGTTTTTCCTTTTAAAACCAAACCGCGACCTATTTCACACATTTCACTGTATTACGGTTAAGATTAGGCATGAATCATGATTATCAAAAAAAAAAAAAAAATCAATACATACATATATATATATATCAAAATGCTAGCAATTGAGAGAATATAAAGTAACAGGAAAGTATGCTTCAAACTGATATCACCATTAGTTACATAATATGGGTCATCAGGATAGGGTAGTATATCAATAACAATATTAGTCCTATCCCAATAGAATCGGAAATTGATGATTCCTAATTACTTTCTATACCTTTTTATTTGAAATATATTATTTGATTCGATCATTACTCATTAATCATTATTGATGCTTTCTATTATTATAAATTTTACCATTATTATAGGTGAAATTGATGCTCGGTCAGTCCAATTGAACGAAGACGAAAATATTATGTAATCCATCCAAACTATATCAATGTTGTTCCAGAAATAGTACAACCAATGCTTCCAATATGTAATATGCAATTTTTTATTATTATTATTATTATTTTTACGTAATAATCATCTGAATGTTTTCGTCCCAAGAGTATTATGTTGTAGTGAAATGCCATATTTATTTATTTATTTATTTATTTTTTTTTCATGGACTAAAAATTGCTTGTAGGTCTCATAGTGTCACACCACGTACTCATTGCATTTACAGGATGTGGCAGACAACACTTTCAACAACGGTGGTTTTTTTTTTATTTTTTTTTATTTTATTTATTTTTTTTTAGGGTTGTGAAAAGTATTGTCTACATCATCTTGTAAATGCTGACGAGTAGTAGACTAGTAGGTGGTGTGATAATTGAGACCTAAAAGTAATTTTTAGCCCATGAAAACTTGATAGAAGAAAAAAATTAATTTCAGTGCACCATAACATAATATTCTTCTCTAAAGAAAAGAATACGATGTTTATTATGTAAAAAAATGCTTATATTACATACGGAAGCAATGGTTGTGTTGGTTGGACAAAGTCTGAAAGTATTGATGATCAAAATAGACCGAGCATTTCCTTCATCAATTCCACCTATAATAATGACAAAATTTACAGTAATTAGAAAGCATCAATTAGGCTATGCACTTGTAGGCACATCTATATATGTACAAGTCATGATCGAATTAAATATATATTTTGTAGGAGTGAGCAAATAATTCGTCAATTCGGTCCGAACCAATCCAATCTGTGTGGTTCAATTCAATTTTTAAATCTCATGGTTAAGTGATGGTTTAAAAAAATAACAATCTGCTATTCGCGATTCGGTAAACAGATTGTGCCCTAAAAAACACCGATCCGTTACTTTAATTATATATTAATATATTATACATATATTTACTGTATTTCTATTTTTTTTATTCATTATTTAATATATATATATATATATATACTAATGAGCTACTATGATACTATTCAAGTGTTTTGTTTTATTCTACTTGGATAGTTTATATTTGGTGCTGTAATATTATTCACTTTTGGATGATTTACAATTCTATTTTGTTATTAGGTAATTTAAATTTATAGTGATATATGTTAAAAAGTTAGTTACAGGTTTTTAATTACTAATTTGAGATTTTAATGGGCCATAAAGTGTAATCATATTGGGTTGTTTGAAAAACTCAATCCGTGAAAACCGAACTGATCCGATCCATTATTTCACGGTTCGATTTGGTTCGGATTGAAGGCCCCTACGGATCAGTTCGGTTTCAAATTTCACCAATTCGTGAGCACCGGATTGAAGTGAACTTTACCCCCAAATCGAACCAATCCGATCCATCAGCCCTAATATTTTGAATAAAAGTAGGATTGCATAGAAAGTAATTAGGAATGATCCATTTCCGATACAAGTTTGGGAATCCAAGTCTAGTACTTGGTTTTCGATAAGGAAAATATATAGTGATTAAATCCACCATGCCTCTAGAATTGCTGTAGTACAGAACCATTAGTCAAACATCATTTAACATGAAAATATAATTCACTTACATATTCCTCTCTGAAGATGAAGAAAGAGAAGAAGAAGAAGAAGAGGGAGAAGAAGAAGAAATCTCACAAGCCATTCAACACAATCTGTCACCGAAAGATGGTAGGAACCGATGATTAAATCAATCCTTTCTACCCTCCGTGTTATGAATTAAAGATTAACAAGACGAATTCCACACTCACTCGCTAAAAGAGAAACATTCTTAAGGAATACACTCACTCTTGGCCCTCACTCTATTTTTCTCTCTCTTCCTCCCTCTCCATTCTCTTCACCCTCTCTCTTCTTCACACTTTTCTTATGTTCTTCACAACTCCTATATTTATAAGTAGACTTGTTCCTCCTTGCCAAAACCACATTTTAATGTGCCAATTCCTTAACTCCTAAGCTAACCAACCGCCTTAGCCATTCTTTACTGTCTCAGTCAACAGTGCATTAAATGCACTGTAAATACATTTCATGACCCAGCTGTTCCTTCTTCGAACAACGGTTTTCTTCTCTTTTGCTTTTCCTAATTCACTGCACTGCACAATGTAACTGCCATATGCATATACATATACATAAAAGTATCACAACACACTTTCTTCCTCTCATCATTCATGCACTAAGCCACATATTATTACTTTCACTGCCACGTACACCGGACCACACAATTCTCATTTACCAATTCATTGACTGACCAATTACCAAAAAACACACCATCACTTGACCACTAAATTTGAGATAATTCATTTTCACCAATTCCTAACACTCTCAAACTACACCATGCAATGTTTTAAACTCCCAAAGAAGATTTGTAACCTCCTATGAATTTTTGGTGGACTGGAAAAGGGGAGAGCTCAAAATTTAAATGGATCTCCAGGGACAAACTATGTGAGCCAAAGGAAGAAAGAGGCCTTTATTTTAGGGATTTAGAGGCCCTTAATTTGGCATTGTTGGCGAAGATAGCCTGGAGATTCGAAATGGGGGATGGCTCATTATTTCTCAAGGTCATGAAGCACAAATATTTTTCTGAAAAAAAAAAAAAAAAAAAACCACAAGTATTTTGTTTACTCTAACTTCTTGGGCTTTTACTGTAGTGGAAATTCTTCTTGGGTATGGAAGAATGTGTGCGCTACCAAGGCTATTATGAGAAGAGGTTTGCAATGGAGAATTGGTAATGGTACTTCAGTAGACTGTTGGGATGGGCAGAGGTTTGCAAGTAGAGGAATCCTAACGAAACCATAATCCTTGAAAAATGTGCAACTTCCTGTAAACATAAACCTGCACACCTTGCTTGCATACACCAAGCAGAATAAAATCTCCGTAGAAACCCTCCACCACTTCACCTAAGAAAAAAGAAAATCTAAATCTAAATGATTTTTTCTCAATTTGGCCATTAACAGTAACCGTCTTCATTCCAATTTCATCGTACAATGTCTGTAAAGTCAACTTCATCTATTCAGTTAATTGTTCACCACCATAAGGTAATGCATAATTTTTGCCCCTACTTTGCAACAAAAACTCTAAATTCCACCAATTACTTCCAGAATTCGTAATTTTCATACCTACGTTTCTTATGCTAATTTCCAAATTGTGTTGTAAGATATTCCCAACTCAACAAACTTAGCTCCACTTGGGACTATATGCATTCCAAAGATGAATCATCCTAGAGTTTCAAATCCTTTAAAACATAATGGCAGGTCCAACAGTAAGAATCGTTATTGTGAAGCATCAATAAGATCTAGAAAACCAAAGTAATCAAACTAAAGTCATCACTGGATTCCCTACAAAGGATGTTTACCTTCATTATTTTAAAGTATGATTCCTGTCTTTTTAAGTACTCCCATGCAAACAACTAATTTAAGGAAAGTATGAGATGTTAAGTGTAACGTGAGCATCTTTTAGGGTGCTAACACAAAGAAAATGCATTAGTGTAAATCCAGAACTAGAATAATCATGCATGCATGTAACTGGTCACTCGAATGACAGTAGGTGTTAGATAGTTGAGTCAGTATCCAGTAAAGATGAGAAAAATTGTATTCCCTTTCTTGTATCTATTAGGAGGTTCCATATAACAAAGAATCCATAAGAAATCTCAATCTAACTCAACAAAGTATTAATCCCAATGCAAGAATGCAAAGCTGAAGTATACATTATGATTTGTGACATTAATTGACGAATGTATGTTTACAGATCATATGAGATTAAGGCAAGGATGATGATGATGACGACGATGACGTTTTCACATCACAAGTAAAAAATTTGGAAGTGGTAATTCATTTAATATAGTAACTCATGTAACAGTAAAATGAGCTAGCCATTCAAGCAGCTTTGCATGTACTGAGTCTGGTCTATCATCATGAGGACAGTGACCAACACCTTCCAGGACAAAGAGGCTTATATTTGGTTGTTTGGAAGGTAAGGAAAAGAAGTATTTACCAACGGGCCCATCTAGTGGGGTAAATGGGTCCTCATCACCCCATAACACTAGGACAGGTAAGGAAATTCTTGGCATCAGCTGCACTGGATTCGGCCCTGGTGGGCCTGTTACAATGGAAATAAAAGCATCAAGCGCCCCTTCATCATCTGCTGGTTCCTTTATGATCTGCACTTATTATATAACTCATATCAAAGAATGTAGTATATAACATGTGATCTACTACAATTATGAAAAAGAAAAAAAAGAACATGTGATCTACTATAATTCAGTGAAAGCCTATCATCTAGGAAGTACAGACACTCCTCTAGGGGTGGCGTGGCAGTATCAGACACTCGTACACATGTCAAACACAGCTAAACGTGTCTTGAAATTTGAATATTTTATTTTCTGATTGGACACGAGTGAGATGAGGGAAGGACACGTTTTGGACACTTTTAGGATAAGGCGGGGTGATTTTTATAATTATTTTTTAGAAGAATGGATTAAATGCAATTTAAAATATATTATGGATTAATTAGAGAAATAAAATAACAAACATCTAGCTCTAAGCTCCAAATTAGTGATTTCATTCATGATTATATCAATAAAATGACCAAAAATTATTACATATATATAATAATATGTTATATTATTATTTTTTTATGTTCAATGCCGTATCCGTATCCTATTTTCTTGAGATTTGTTGTATTTCCGTGTTTGTATGGTATCGTATCCGTGTCTCGTGTCCCAATCTGTGCTTCCTAGCCTATCATGAATCCAGACTAAATTGATTAAATTTAGTATATATTCTAAAATTACAAGAGGTTTTCCATTCACAAATTTATTTTCATTAAAAGTTTCTATAAACTTATTTAGAGTGTTATTGACTAATACAATGCAATCATTTGGACACAGTAGTAGAGCCATATATCAGCTCTACTCTTGCTAATCATCGTCATTTATATTGGACAATCCACAGATTGCCTTCATCTTTGCCCTTTCAACAAATCATTCTTGTTTTTTTATTTTTTATTAGTGTTTTTAACAGTTTTGCATGGCTTGCTTTAAATTTTTGAATTAGTTTTCTAACAAGATTATCATTGTTTAACTCATGTATCTTGTGACGTTTCTCAAATTTCCATTTCTTGAGTTTATTTTTCAGGTTCATCACACTTCATATTTTATTATTTGGGGCGTATCTATGTGAGCGTGTAATTATCTACTTATGTGTAGCGTGTGTTAGTGGGTGTATGCGTTAAAAATGGCTTTTTAGATATTTTTGGGTCAACGGGACCCACTTTGACCAAGTGGTTGGTAAAGCATCACATGACCACATTTCATGGTCATTTTTCTTCCCCCATTTTGCAGAGATTTCCCTCTCTCTCTCTCTCTATAACTCTTTCTCTCTCTACAAATATATATTTTACATAGTTTAAGCTCAAATTTCATCATCTTCCTCTAGGATTTGAACTTTGCCATTGAAGGCAAAGTTAATGACCTCGACGAGGGCTACGAATTGATCAGAGCAGATTTTCAGTTGGGTGAATTTGGCATTTTTTAAATTGGGGGAATTTTTAGGGCTTCTCTCTCCAATTTGAGGTAGGGGTCTCCAAATCTCACATTCTTTGATTTTTGTGAGTTAATGTCCTTAAATTGTATTGTGGCATGTGTAATTTATGAAATTGATGCATGACTTTTAGGGTATATTATTGTAAGGCATGATATTTATGGTTTTATGTGGTGTGTGTGTTGAATTGCATGCTTATATGAATTAATGTTACATTATTTGATGAATTGTTGCTACTACATGCTTTACATATCTAAAATGCTATAGTTGTGTAGTTGATAACATGAGAGTTGTTGCATTACTTACTTCCAAAGCAGGCAAGTATAATGGTAGCTAATGTATGAAATTTCATATTGGCGTGATGTTGAAATTCATGATACATTCATGAATTGGCATTGGATGAGAAAAAAGTGGAATTTGATTTTTGAATGAAAATATGATTTTGGAAAGGTTTGAAAAGATGTTTGCGAAAATTGGACGGCAAGGAGTCACCTTGTGTTTGTGGCGTTAATGGTACCTAGAAGGAATGTAAGGAGACTACCCTATGCGTGGTTGAGCTACCAAGGCCCCAAATGACGCTAAGGAGTTACCTTAGGTCATGGATAGTTAGTCAATCCTTCTCTCGTGGCGCCGGGGAGTTACCTCAGGCCGAGTTACATTAACCGTTTGACGATTGTTGTGATTGGTAAATGTTTTGGAAATGGGGAGTGGACATTGCATTGGCATTGCATAGCATTGCATTTATCATGCTTGGATTGTATGGTGATGGGTATGTTGATTGTTTTCCCCAATGTATGCATGACCCTATTACTTTATTCCATTCTTTGCGTGTAATTCACGGGATCATGAAGGAGTGCGTTTTAGGCACCTCCTACTGAGCCGTTGTGCTCACCCCTTTATTAACATTTTCAAGAACCGGGAAAGAAATCGTTGACGACCCACAACCTCATATGTGAAGACACTTGAGGACCTTCTTTTCTAAAATAGACACTTAGTCTTTTAAACCATGTAATATTTAACGTTTTGAGATATGTAATGACAAATGTATTAATTTTGTCTCCAAACTATATTCAATGACTACTTGAATTCGTTTTGCGGTTAGAAATGGTTTTGAGACCATTCTTTTGCATTTTGCGGTCTCATTACGATTTCTAATCCTTTGTAAGGCCTTATGGCCATGTTATAATGTAATCGGATTCATTTTCACCATATATGATGTACCTAGTTCGTTTAATGATCGTATATATGCATGGATGTCTAATTGAGGTTGTATCCTACCAAATGTATGCTTTCGGGACTGGTTTAGACCATATTTATGGTTACAAATGGACCAACGAGGGTGCTGGTGGGTTAAACCATCAAAAACAAGCCTTAAAGGCCAAGGAAGCACAAACCGATCGACGTGTGGAAGCTTAGGCATGGACCGGTATCTAGGCAGAACCAACATTTCAGGTGCAAAGTCAAACCGGTCGATGTCTAGACCCAGACGTCGACCGATTTAGCTGAACCGGTCGACCTGTGACTTGCACATGTTGACCGATTCCTGTAGTTCCCCATTTGTTGTTCCTTTCCAATTTTGTCCAATCCTGGTCCATTTTAATGATGCTATTGTGCACTATGAAGCATAGTATGATGTACTATTTATATTTGAACATTATAAATGACCGTAATGCCCTTAGATAACCTCGGGTTCAGTTAAGGACCCGGATAATGATCTGGACCCTCGGGTTTGGGTCGTTACATATCTATTCGTAACACTTTCCTGTATTAGACCAACTAGTAAACAAATTCTTTATAAACTTTCTTTATGGTTCATAAAGACAAGCTTTGCATATCCCATCCAATTTTTTGCAATTCTGTCATGTCCCATTCAAGATTCTTGTACAGCTTATAAATCTGACTTGGAAACTCTAATATATTTAAAACCTCAAAACCAAATATCAATTCTCCCTTAACCACATTCCTGCAACCATGTTTTTGGATAAAACATCCAAAAGAACAAAAAATCCATAAGAGATTATGTTGCCCTCATTGACCTCTATTTTTCTGTTACATCATCTTCCAATCCGCCTAATCTCATACTCCCTCTGTCCCAAAAAAAAATGTCATGCTTTCCTTTTTGGTCTGTCCCAAAATAGTTGTCACTTTCCTTTTTCAAACAATATATTTTACATCTTTCCATATATGTCCTTGGAGTTTAAAATTTCAAACTTGAATATTCAAAACTTAGAAGGGCAAATTAGTAACTTTCCAGGGAGACAAGGTATGTCCCATATGTTCCCTTAAAAATTCCTACTCCCCAAAAGTGACATCTAAATTGGGACAGAGGGAGTAAAATTTAGGAATACACAACGCTACGTGTCTTGTTTGTTCAGTTCAAGCTGTTGCCGAAAACAGTTGCTACCATCCTTACTCTTTTATGTCAAGAGACAAAAGATCAAATAGAAAAATATGTTTAGGAAAAGAAAAAATATTAAAAGATAAATATGGCTATCAATCTATTATTAATTTTTTTAATGGAGGATAAAAGATAACTTAAGGGTAACTTTTTCCTTTTCTTTCTCTAATATGTTTGGTTTTTGCCATTAATTTCTTGTATTTCCTCTGCCACATAGTGCAAACCAAAAGGCATTTGATAGGAAACAATTATACCTGGATCAGATCTTCATCCACAGATTCCTTATTTCCATAGACAGACAATAAGATGTTCCTCAGGTTATCTCTGTATTAGCCATGAACCACAAGATTTTGACATTCAGCCCTTAACAAAATCAGGTTCGGAATAAATACCAACTCAATAAAGTACCTTTGTTTGACACGATCAAAGAAAAATGAAGCAATCCCTTTTTGTTTTAGTAAGAAGTCAATTAACCAAAGCAAAGGTAACAGCAGCTTAATTCTCCAATCATTCACGATTGCCTTGTTGTTCATACCACCAGCACAATTTAACAGAACCAGCCCTCGAACCAGAGATCCAGTAGACTCTGGTTAGTGGAAATGGAACAATTAATATAAAGGAAAAACAATAGTGTCAAAAATTTTCCTGATTGCAGCTGTAGGGGATTCCTTTACCGACAAGACAAATTAATGTATTATGTGAGACAAACACAAGTTAAACATACCTGATGCAGCAATAACACAAGCGAGACTTCCAACAGAGTTCCCTATCAGCACAGCAGGCCTTTGAACAATTTCATCCAAGAAATTCAACAGCAACTGTTCACATTGAGTTAGTGGGAAAGGTAGTACTGATTTGCACTGCTAAAAGACTGAAATGCATGCAAAATTCTTCACGCTTTATTAAAAGATATACCTGCGCCCATACTTCCATTGTATATTCAAAGCCTAAGGGCTTATCAGAAGCACCAAAACCAATAAGGTCAATGGCATAAACAGTGTAACTTTGAGCTAGCGTCATGATATTCCTGAAAGGACCTCATAATTAAAGATATATACTTGAGCAGCATGTTAAACTATTGAGTTCTCATGCCTCCACTCATATTAAAAGCAATCAATTTCTTCAACATAATTCTAAAAGTTACCATTATTTTTGGTCTTCTCCCCCTAGAAACCGTATGTAGGGGACATCAGCACTCAGTAAAGGCATTTAAATGACTATGCTGCTCTACTTAAAGGGTAAGAAGATGTGAAAGAAACCTTCTCCAGTACAAGTAGGGGAAATGGGCTACTATACTTTACATGCAAAAGGCCATTCATCTGACCACAAAGGATAGGTGGTTGATTGTACTGAAAAATAATAAAAATAATGGTTCGAGATAAATTGGGTATTTAATATTGGAGCAAAATTTTGAAATCTTTTTGATACCTATGTTCTTTGTTAACTATCTTTTTTCGTTTTCCGGCCTTTAGTTTCATATTTTCCTACCTTGTGGTTTTTAGTAGTAATTTCTCTATTCAAAATATCTCTTCATTTGAAGGTGATAGAATTCGATGTGTCCCTTTTTATATAGTATAGTAGAGAGAGTGCATTTGTAGTACATAAAGGAAAAATAGGAGTATGCTTCAAAATATTTAAATCAATCTTGTGAACATTCTTGGAAATAGAAGGGGTTTTTGGATTTGATGAAGAATTTTGAGTAGTAAGTCTGCATTTGTGGTCTTTCCTTTGCCACTCAATGCACCTCCCCATATATATCTCACTTCCAACAACTCCAAGGTGGTGCTGCTGCAGTTTGCCGATCAGCACAGAAGAAGATGAGTAAGTCACAATAGTCCTAGAAAGTATGAAGGAGAGTTCGATACAGTTAAGTTTACTTTCTGGTTTTCAAACAAATTGATACACAATCTGTGCTCCTGAGTTTACATGCACTTTGTGTAATTGCATTGTTCAGATATCCATTAAATTGAGCCAAAAATTAAGTATGGTGAACAGTAAAAGAATTAAGATTCTCAATCTTTGCTAACTTTCATTGAGGAGATCAATGCTCAATCACTATAACTGAAGGCAAATCAAAGGTGTTGGTGGCATTGACGGATAGCAGTAGCTAAACCCCAGGAGAGCATCCATGAGGCCTAGGCACACAGTCACTAGGTTAATAGGAAATGAGTGGGAACGAAACACACATTATTCCTTCCTACTAAAAAGAGTGATTGAGAAACTCTAGAACCTAAACAAAAAATGCAGAAGTAAGCATACCCCAAGCCTCACCTCTCTCCCCTTCTACTAGCCAAGACCATCAAGCCCATTTTTCAACCTCGAATTATTGAAAGTCAAAAATCTGTGAATGGAAGGATAGGGGATCAGAAGATACACGGACGTTATAGTATAGGTTGGATTTTTTTTTTTTTTTTTAATAAGTGAGTGTAGGTTGGATGTTTTTGTGAGCAGTAAGCAGCATATCTCTCCTTATTTTGGGAAAGCGGGTGGCTGCGTTTGTATCTTTGTTGAAAAAGAGATATTCGGTTTTAATAAGACCAGATTTTAGGGGATATGATAGGTGTGTAATCAATGACTAAGATTAGGAATTTTTGTTAGTGTACAGCCTGTAGCTTCTGTTAGTGTACAGCCTGTAACTTCTGTTAGTTTACAACCTGTAATTACAGCCTATAGCTTGCTGTTACAGCCTGTAGTCAGCCTGTAGTTTCCTTTTGTTAGCCCCTTGTATTTCCTATTTAACTAAAGCATTGTAAACCATTCAAAGTACGGCAATATACAGATTCTTTTCAATCTTGAAATCGCCTATTTGGTATCAGAGCATCTTACCGATTATTCTGAAAAAAAACCCCTAGCTGTCTCTTTTTTTTTTCTCTCTTCCAAACAACCCTAATCACCATCTCTGATGATGTACCTGAGTCCAAGACCAAGACCTTTGAGTCCCAAGTCCAAAACTCTCAAACACACTCAGTCCAAATTACCACAATTCGGCTAAATGGTGAAAACTTCCTTCGCTGGTCCTAGTCCGTGCGGATGTACATCTAAGGCAAAGGCAAAATCGGCTACCTGACAGGAGAAAAGAAGGAACCGAAACCTGAAGATCCATCCTACTCGACCTGGGATGCAGAGAATTCGATGGTGATGACCTGGTTGGTGAATTCTATGGAGGAGGACATCAGTTCTAATTATATGTGTTACCACACAGCAAAAGAACTCTGGGACAATGTCTACCAGATGTATTCAGACCTGGAAAATCAGTCTCAAGTCTATGAACTAACGCTGAAACTCGGAGAGATCCGTCAAGGAGATAACAGTGTTACAAAATATTTCAACTCTCTAAAACGTTTGTGGTAGGACCTTGATTTGTTCAGCGATTATGAGTGGAAATCGCCTGAAGATTGCAACCATTACAAAAAGAAGGTGGAAGACAACCGCATCTTCAAGTTTCTCATTGGACTCAATGTCGAGTTTGATAAGTGAGGCAGAATAATTGGACGACAGCCCCTGCCTTTAATCAGTGAAGTCTTCTCCGAGGTTCGAAGAGAGGAAAGTCGCAGGCTGGTCATGCTTGGAAAAGAGTTATCAAATGGTGCTGTTGAGACCTCTGCCCTGGTCGCATCTGAAGCGAATATTGGTAGGAAACATAATGAAAAGCCCCGTCTTTGGTGTGACCACTGCAACAAGCCTCGCCATACCCGTGAAACCTATTAGAAAATTCATGGTAAACTAGCGAATTGGAAGAGTAAGCAGGAAGGCAGATTCAACTGAGCCCCATCAGCTCATGAAGCCGAGGCACTTCCCTTCAGCAAAGAACAGATGGATCATCTTCTAAAATTGCTGAAATTTTATTCCTCATCTGGTACTCCTAATGCTTCTCTTGCTCAAACAGGTAACAACCCGAAGGCCTTATCTTGTCATTCAAATTCCAGTGTTACCCCATGGATCATTGATTCAGGGGCTTCTGACCATATGACAAGTTTTTCTCATTTATTTCAAACTTATTCACCCTGTTCTGGCTCTGAAAAAATCAGAATAGCCAATGGTTCTTATTCTCCTATTGTAGGCAAAGGTTTGGTAAAACTTTCAAAAACTATTGATCTTAAGTCTGTCCTTCATGTCCCTAAGCTTGCTTGTAACCTTTTATCAGTTAGTAAATTGTCCAAAGACTTTAATTGTTGTGTTATCTTTTTTGAATCCTAATGTGAATTTCAGGACCAGAGCTTAGGGAAGACGATTGGCAGTGCTAAGATGATAGATGGTCTCTACTATTTTGAAGATAATATTTCAAGTAATAAAAAGGCTCAAGGTCTAAGTAGTTTTCATTCTATCCCTGTTAGAGAACAAATAATGCTATGGCATTTTAGACTTGGGCATCCTAGTTTCCCTTATCTTAAAAGATTATTTCCTACTTTGTTTAAAGGATTGGATTGTTCATCTTTTTATTGTGAGAATTGTTTTTTATTAAAGAATCATCGTACTACGTATTCTCCCAAACCTTACCAAACATCAAAACCATTTTATTTAATCCATAGCGATGTTTGGGGCCCTTCTAGGATCACAACTCTTTCTGGAAAAAAATGGTTTGTGACTTTTATTGATGATCATACACGTTTGTGTTGGGTGTATTTAATGAATGAAAAATCTGAGGTTGAAAAATTATTCAAGGATTTTTATATGATGATTGAAAATCAATTTCAAACAGAAATTGGCATTCTTCATACTGATAACGGCACCGAATACTTCAATAAAGTTTTAGGAAGTTTTTTAACAGAAAAATGAATTTTTCACCAATCCACTTGTGTTGACACGCCCTAACAAAACGGAATTGCTGAAAGAAAGAATAAACATTTACTTGAAGTTTCTCGTGCCATCATGTTTTCAATGAATGTTCCCAAGTATTTGTGGGGTGAAGTCGTTTTAACAACAACATATTTGATTAACAGGATGCCTACTCGTGTTCTTAACTATTTTACACCCCTTGAAAGCCTTAAAAAATCTTTTCCTGAAACTCAGATTTATTCCAACCTGCTTTTGAAAGTATTTGGGTGCACTATCTTTGTCCATTTACCTAGTAGACTTCGGTCTAAATTGGATCCTCAGGCTGAAAAATGTGTATTTGTTGGGTATGCCCCGAATAAAAAGGGGTACAAATGCTTCAATCCGAAAACAAAAAAAAATGTTTATCAGTATGGATGTCTTTTTTCTAGAAAATCATCCTTATTTTCAGAAAACTTTTCTTCAGGGGGAGAAAGAGAATGAAGAAAACCCTTACCCAAAACTATTGTCTCACACTCTATTACTCCGAACACTGATCTTTTTAAACAGGGAAATGATGTTCTAGAATCAGGAAACCCGGGGCCTCCTAGTCCTAATCTGCCGAGCCATACTATACCTCCAATAGGGGGAGAAATCTTATCAACGGTTCCAAAAAAAACCGAATCCTGAGCTTCTGGTTTATAATAGGAAAAAGACTCATCATGAGAGTAGAGAGAGCCTACTATTGTACCTGAGCAAGGCCAATCAGAGGTCCCGAGCAATGACTCCCTAAACACTCAAGGTACTCTAAATCCTAACTTGTCTGCAGTTGTCCCTACTATTTCTGATAGTACAGAGTAACCTAGCCAAGTTCCTGTAGACCTTGATATCCCTGTAGCTGTTAGAAAAGGAATCCAAACCTGTACCCAGCATCCCATTGCCAAATACTCGTCTTATGATAAACTTTTCCATAAACATAGGGCCTTTACTTCAAATATTTCTCACTTGTTTGTTCCAAGAAACATTCAGGAAGCACTAGATGATCTGAATTGGAAATCAGCAGTGTTAGAGGAGATGAATGCTCTTAAAAGGAGTGGAACATGGGAGATGGTTGACTTGCCTAAAGGAAAGAAAACTGTTAGGAGTAAATGGGTTTTCACTATTAAGTGTAAAGCTGATGGTAGTGTGGAAAGGTACAAGGCAAGACTTGTGGCGAAAGGTTTTACGCAAACGTACGGCATTGATTACCAAGAGACGTTTGCTCCTGCAGCAAAA